TAAGGGGTCCCTCAAGACCCTCGAATATTTAATGGGTCCCTAATATTTTCGAAAAAAAAGTTTTTCAAAAATATGTCAACCTGGTACTCAAATGAAGCGAAATTAAACAAATATTTCAAAAATAATATTCATTTGGAAATACTTTTAACTTATTTATTAAAAGTATCATAAAAAAACATTAGAAATGCATTTTTTTCATTTTTTCTTAAAAAACGCAATTTTTTATGTAATAAAACCAAAAATAACAATTTTGTTTCGAAATAAATATTATTTTAAAAATTTTTATATAATTTAGGGACCCATTATATATTCGAGGGTCTTGAGGGACCCCTTAAAATATTTTTTATTCAAAAAAAAATTAAACCTAGTGTTTTTGCATTAGATAGAACACATTTAGGAGGTGAGAGCAGGTTATTTTCAAAAATGTTGTTTTTTGGGACACCCTTATATATATATATATATATATATATATATATATATATATATATATATATATATATATATATATATATATATATATATATATATATACATGCTTTTATAATATTTGTCATATATATTATATGACAAATTTTATAGAAGTACAATATCCACATATAAAACAATAACTATCAAAAACCATCTTTTTTGCGATTTTATAAACTTCTTTATATAATCACCCTGGATTTTTTTTTGCAATGGAAAACCTTAACTAACATTAACAAGTTAAGCAACATTTTAAATGTTGCTTAACTTGTTAATGTTAGTTAAGGTTTCTTTGTAAATAAAAATTGTATGTCTACTATTCTTTCCATTATTTAAAAATTATTAGCTTTTAAATATCTCTTATATAATAATTAGTCGAACATTTTTCAGCAATTAGAAATTGATGATAATAAAAACTTACAAGTACTAAAATAGTTATTTTTTTTCCCTTATTTTGTTAAAGGTGCAAAAAGGAATTTTTAAAATGATGTTCGTTTTTTACATTTTAATATATTTTTAATTTTAAATGTAAAATAGACCACTTGCCAGTAACTTTCAGACCTATGTTTTTATATGATTTCAATCATTATAATATATTTAATCATAATCAATCATAAAAATGGGTGAGTGTAAACTTAACACCTTATTTTGCCCCATTTGGGACCCTTAGCACTTAGTTAAGGTTTTAAAAACAACTTTTTCTATTATAAAATATTAAATAAATAAAAAAATATTACATAAAAAAAGTTCTGTTTAATTGACAGGACATAAAATGTCCTGTCAATTAAACGGTAACAAGAGAGGAGAAATAGTAATAGTAATAATAATAAAACAAAAGTAATAAAATAAGTTTAATAAAAAAATAATAATAATAATTTCAACTCTTAAGTTAAAATTTTAATCAAGTAGTTTAGCAAATATTTTATAGTTATTTAAATATTTTTAAGATCTTATTAGCTAAAAGTTAGTGATTAACAAAGATTTCTTTAGGAGTTAATAAGCGGTGTCCACTGTGTATAATTATAATAAAATATTTTTTATTAAAAAAAAAAAAAGATATTAAAAATAAATTTAAAAAAACACATTAGTTGCAGAGCATTAACCTTACCATATGTTCTGTGAACAACTTTATTACACATTTTTTTTTTTTTTTTTTCACATCTTATCTTTATTCTTGTCACAGTTTCTCAATTGTTTTTTGAGGATATATGACTGTAAAGTATCAGAGTACTACAGCTGAAAGGTATCAGAGTACTAAGAGTGCTATGTTGCAATGAGGCAATTGCTTGGGCTATTAAATAGTGTACTAAGTACTATCTATGCTTTAAGTCAAGTTCTTTAACAAATTTAAAAATGACTAAAGTACCAAAATATATAAAACACAAAAACCGTCATCATTACCAAGTTCTCTAAATTTTTCATTCATTTGTAATCTTCAAAGTAACTTTTCTTTTGTTGAGTCTCTTGTGAGTCTAATTTGGGTTTGGCTGTCTCATCTTGTGATCTTAGTGTTGATGGTTATCTTCCTTTAATTGGTAAAGACTCCATTAGTCACATGCTTGGCCTGGGCATTTACATTCGTAAAAATCCACCCATTTGTCAGGAAACTAGGTTTAATCCACTGACTATTCTCTTATGTGCTTTTGTTTAGCACCACTTCATTCTATTGTCTTTCTCTTTGTTCTATATCGCTCTCCTTCATCTCAAAATTGCATGCATTTTGATGTTATTTGTGATCAAATTGACCAAGCCTTCAGCCAATATTGTTGTTATTGGTTACTTTAATGCTTGTCACACTGAATGACATGGCTCTAGTGTCAGTGACTTTTAAGTTAAGGCCCACAACTTTTGTCTTTCTCAATCTCTAACACAAATAGTCAACTTTCCAACTCACTTTCTAAACAACCTGAATCTTTTACCTTCTCTACTTGACTTATGTCTTGTTTCTGATCCTAGTCAATGCTCAGTTTCTCCACATTCACCCTTGAGCGCTTCTGATCAAATGTTCTGATCAGATCTTCTGATCAAATGTTCTCCAGAGCTGCCGTCTATACTTCCTAAACTATTTAACAAGTGCTCATTAGAGTCTTGTTTTCCAGCCTGCTGAAAAGTGGCATCTGTTATTCCTATTTTTAAAAATTCTGGAGAGCGATCTGATTCGTCTAACTACCATCTGATTAGTCTTCTTACTATCATAAACAAGGTTTTTAATTATTTTTTAACAAAAACTTAATCTCTCATCTTGAATCTTATAACTTTCTAATCATCAATATGGATTTCAATTTTTTTGTTCTACTGCTAATTTGTTAACCATAATAATCAATAGGTTTTATCATGCATTAGATAGAGGTGGATCGGTTAAAGCCTTTGCTCACAACATTTCCAAATGTTTTGATAAAGTTTGGCATACTGGTCTTCTCCATAAGCTCTCTTCTTATGGTGTATTAGGTAATATCTTTAATAATATTGAATCCTTCCTTACCAATCATAGTATAAAAGTTGTCCTCAATAAACAGTACTCTTTTTCATTTCCTGTAACTTAAGGGGTTCTTCAAGATTCTATCCTTGGCCCTATACTTTTTTTTTAATTTACATTAACGATCTCCCACTAATTCTCACATCTTAGGTGGCATTGTTCACTGATGATACTACTATCTATTCTTGGCTAGATTAGAAGCCAGCACTCTTTGATTGGTTGGAGGGGGCATTTGGGCTTGAAAAGAATTTCACTTCTGCTACAACTTGGGGCTTTCAGTGGCTGGTGAACTTTTGTATTCTAGGATTAACTCTTACTTCCAATCTTTCTTTCTAAACCATATATCAAATCCATTGCAAAATTAGCATCTGCTAAGGTTGCATACTGTTCATTACTTTCTCACTCTGGATTGTATTCTTTATCTCTATAAATCTCTAATCAGTCCTTGTATGGAATACTGTTGTCTTATCTGGAGCAGATCTTCAAATAATGCCCTTTCTCTTTTAGCCAACCTCCAACCATTATCACATCATTGTAATGTTGCATCTCATTCTCTTTTCTATAAATTTTATAACAGGCACTGCTCTAAAGGGCTAGCATCTCTCGTGCCATCTATTAAAATTCATTTGTGTTACTTGTCATTTAATTAAGTCTCATCCTTTTACTATGACTGTTCCTAAGTGCTACGAAAATTATTATTTGTCTAGTATTTTTTCCTCGAACATCAGTTCTTCTGAATTTGCTCCCATCTTGTTTTCCTGATTCATATAATTTGAAATTTTTTAAGTTGTCTGTCAATCATTATCTTGCTCTACAATCTTCATCTTTTCACTTCCAACTCTTATGTTGCTTGTTGAATATGAATGTGTTTGAAAATTGAGTTTGATACTTAAGAAAAATATTTATTATTTGAATTTTTCTTTTTTTATTTTATCTTCTCTATGAGAAAAAAACTCCTTTCACAAATATTCTTGAAAATTTGTTGTAATTAATAATAATTAAATTAGTTTAATTAACATCAAGATCGAGTTTTTTTATTCTTAAAAGTTTAGTATCTAAGGTTTGTTGGTTTGGTATAGTTTAGATGAGTTTTCATTTGCCATTTTATTTAAATATGATATTATGGAAACTTATTTATATTGTTAATTATTTTGATAATTTGCTTTTGTGTCAATATAATCAGATCAAACCAAAAAATTAAAACAGTAAATCATGGCATAATCATAATGTTATCTGCTTTGCATTACCTACTTTCTTAAATAACAAATAAATAAGTTGGAAGCTGAGATATGTATAAATTGCAAGTAAAAGTGCAATTAAACAATTAAGTGTTCTGCAATAAAAAAGTGCAATTAAACAATTAAACAATTAATTTGCAATTAAACAATTAAGTTGTCATTATTATATTAAGACCTTTGATAAGTTGTAGAATATTGCAATTTTTTGTTTATTTATTAAATAGGTACATTTAATTAAAAGGGAACTGTCTCATAAAAATATATTGATATGAAATCATGTTGGATCTGTATATTTGTTTTTCAGGTCTGAATTCAGTAATGTCCTATTAACAGCTCAATATTATTTTGTTTATAACTTTTTTATTGATTTATCTTTTTCTCTTTTTTTTAATTTTGCATGTTAATAAGTTTTTCTTGTATATTTGGTAATTAATGTAACTTAAACAAAAAAGTTTTAAAACCAAGCTCTCTTTTACTCAGCCACAAACTCAGCAAGTTTTATCAAAACTTTCATCAAAACTTTTATCAAAGCTGTTCTCTCTTACCTTATTACACACCCAGCAATGTTTATTCAAACCAAGCTCTCTGTTACCACAATCATGCACCAAGCAAAAGTGTTGTATTTCAATAACACGAGTTGTTAAATATCAATAACAAAAAGTGACACAAATGACAATGATTGATAACAATGCACAGTGTCATTGTGCAAACTTATTCTTGTGACTGTTTTTATTGATTTAGATTTTTTTGTAAAGTAATTTACTTTATAATCTTTTAATTCTTTTGGAGAATTAAAAGAACTTTATAAACTTTTGATTTAGTCCTGATTTTGATCTTGAAGATTTTGATGATTTCCTTGAAAAAGCAAATACGAAATCTGCACAAAATAATGGTAGCTCTTTGTTATATTTTTATGCTTAATTTTTTTTTTAAACTGTTTATTTTTTTTTAAACTGTTTATTTTTTTTTTAAACTGTTTATTTCTTTTTTAATTCTTTTATTTTGTACCATCAGTTTTTATACAGTTATGGCCAAAAAGATCTGACCACTCATAATTATTATAGTTACTTATAAATGCAAAATTTGCATGATGGCAACACACTAAATAATCATACATTTCTTGATTGATTAGATAGTTATCAACCAATAGGAAAATATCTTATGTATTCCATATACATTAAAATTATTTATAGATCAATTGTTACTATCTTGGAGTATTGTTACAACATCACTTGCTAAATCTGTACTACATCACTTGCTAAAACCTCTAATAGAAGACAGTAGTTCTGAACAAATGTTTGCCCCACGTTTGAAGATGTCTAAGACAACTGTTCATTATATCATTTGTCAATCAGTGTATCAAGTCAACAGATAGCATCAAGTCAACAGATAGCATCAACACAGTATTTCAGTATTCCACAAAGTCTTGTGGAATACTGAAATACTGTGCTGCATTGTAGTTCTTTCTCAAAAAAGTATTCATGATCGCTTTAAATTTTTTTAAAGATCACAAGGAATAGACAAATTAAATGGAGTCAAAATGTGGTAATGTGTCAAAATGTGTTGATGTGTCATGTTGTCAGGCGAAGAACAAGTTGTGCATTTTCAGCACACAAACTCAACCATTGGAATTAGAAAAAAAAAGGTTAATAAATTGCTTTTTTTTTTTTCCTAATTCCATAAATTTAGCAATAAATTGCCAAATTCAAACTGTTAGAGGTCAGCAAATAAAATTTGACACAAAGGGGTTACCATAAAACATAGAAACGAGGTCAGCTACTTTTTGCAGACCTCAAACACTTTTAAGACGGCATTGGCGAATGCCAACCCTAATTCTGACGGCTGCAAAGTAAATATTTGTCAGCCACCAAACTCATATTTTGATCCCTGATACATTACACCTTTTGTTAAGCAGTGTCTAGCAGTTATGATAGGGTGCAATCACTCCTAACATTTGTGCTGGTTTTTACCCTTTACAATAAGTTGTCTGTCAATTCTGCAAAATTTTCGGATGTTTTTTTTTTCAAATTAGAAAGTTTAATATTTTCATGCGTGACATATTTCATGATGGTAAATCATCAGGCAAAACTATCAAGACATCCAAAAAATGCCATTAATGTTCTTGTCTCATGGCCAGGCAAGTCACCAGATTTAAATACTATCAAACACAGTTGAGTTATTTTAAAAACAGATGTTTTTTAAGAGGACCTAATCTCACCAGCACATCTGAGAAAAACCATAATAAAAGAGTGTTGTAAGAAGTGTGGCAAAGAATAGAATCTGTTCTAAAAGTTCGAGGAGCTTATACAAAGCACTCAAATACTTTCTATAATCTCATGTGCATATTAAATAGAAGGGGGCGTTTATTAATTTTTGGAAAATTTTACCTCCCACCCCAAGCTTATCAAGACCTTCCAACCACCCCACCCCTATTTATTAATTTTGACCCCTATTTATTAATTTTTACTTGTTATCAACAAAAAAACTTCTTCTTAAAAAGAAAAAAACTTTCAGTGTAAATCGGTCTTTCAAGTTGAAAAATATAAACTTACTGATAAAGATATAAATTTTCAGTGTAATCAGGCTTTAAAAATTGTCAACCTATACAAAAGTCTTGTAAAGCTCGATTTGGTCAAATAGAACTTTTGGGTTCTCTACCAAGTAAATATTTCTCAACATAGTTTTCTCTACCAAGTAAATATTTCTCAACATAGTTTTCTCTACCAAGTAAATATTTCTCAACATAGTTTTCTCTACCAAGTAAATATTTCTCAACATAGTTTTCACTACCAAGTAAATATTTCTCAACATAGTTTTCTCTACCAAGTAAATTTCTCAACATAGTTTTCTCTACCAAGTAAATATTTCTCAACATAGTTTTCTCTACCAAGTAAATATTTCTCAACATAGTTTTCACTACCAAGTAAATATTTCTCAACATAGTTTTCTCTACCAAGTAAATTTCTCAACATAGTTTTCTCTACCAAGTAAATATTTCTCAACATAGTTTTCTCTACCAAGTAAATATTTCTCAACATAGTATAAAACTTATATAAGCATATTAAATCTTATAGAAAAAATAGTTGTTATAAAATATTTTGGCCACAAGCTGCGCTATAATTAAATAGTTTTATGCATGAGTTCTTCCAATTATTAGAACTCAAGTGACCATTTTTAAAAAAACCTACTTATTCTATTTGGAGACAAAATTCTACCCCCTCCCCCCAGATCTTTTTGGCCATAACTGTATAATATAATTAGTAGTCAGTTATAAGTATTAAATGAAAAAATGTTTTTTGAGAAACGTTTTCACAGGTAATTTTACAGGAACAGTTTTTTCACTAACAGTTTTTTGAAAATATTGCCTCAAATATTTTTAAAGATGGTTAAAAAGCATAATGATTTATTTTTTTGAAGTTTTTCACAGTTAAATAATTAAACCAATAAATCATTCTGGGAAACCTGATTTAAAGTGGTTCTCAAATGGTTCTTATTTTATTTAAGGTTTGCGTCGTAGCTAAGACAACTAAAAGATATTATGATATTCTAGATATGCGTTGTTATAATCAGTTTTTCATAATTAGTATCAGTCATCAATCAGTTCATCAGGAAATTTGTTTTTAATAAAACCTCTTTAAATTAAATAGTTTTACGGTCATTTGTGAACATTTTTTATTATTTTTCTATTATATTTCTGGCTTTTTTTGTTTTTACTATATATGGTCAAGAGAAAAAAATAAATCTTTTTAACTTTTTCTTTGTGATGGTTTTAGTAGATGTTTTTGTTTTCAAAAGTTGTAATCCTCTTAGCATTTTGAAATTTTTTTTTATATTTTATTTAGTCTTCACATATTATCAAAAGTTTTTAAATGAAACCTAAACATCTTTGGATATGAAAAACAGATCAAATTTTATAAATGTCTTTGAGCTCTAGCAAACCAAAAAAGACTAAATAAAACTCAGACTTGAAAATAAAAAAAAAGACCAAATTAGTCTTGTTTTGAAATGTCTTGAATTAATCAGGACCTCCTTTAGAAAATTAAAACTTAATAATAATTATAAGTATAATAAAGTAATAATTAATAAACTTTTCAACCAGTGCTAATCTATTTAAATATTATTAATTTGTAAAAAATTTTAAAAGATAGAGTTCTTATTTTTACTTAATTTTGATTTACATCAAATCAGTTCATTGTTACATATATATAATATAATCAGTTCGTTGTTACATATATATAATATAATCAGTTTGTTGTTACATATATATAATATAATGATAGTATTAAGTAATGTAATAAATTTTTAATACATATATACACTAGGGTGTCCCAAAAAACAACATTTTTGAAAATAATTTGCTCTCACCCCCTAAATGTGTTCTATCTAATGCAAAAACACTAGGTTTAAATTTTTTTTGAATAAAAAATATTTTAAGGGGTCCCTCAAGATCCTCGAATATTTAATGAGTCCCTAATATTTTTGAAAAAAAAGTTTTTCAAAAATATGTCAACCTGGTACTCAAATGAAGCGAAATTATATAAAAATTTTAAAAATAATATTCATTTCGAAACAAGATTGTTATTTTTGGTTTTATTACATAAAAAATTGCGTTTTTTTAAAAAAAAATGAAAAAAATGCATTTCTAATGTTTTTTTATAATAATTTTGATAAATAAGTTAAAAATATTTCCAAATGAATATTATTTTTGAAATATTTATATAATTTCTCTTCGTTTGAGTACCAGGTTGACATATTTTTGAAAAACTTTTTTTCGAAAATATAAGGGACCCATTAAATATTCGAGGGTCTTGAGGGACCCCTTAAAATATTTTTTATTCAAAAAAAATTTAAACCTAGTGTTTTTTATTAAAGACACTAAGATAACTTTTGTTCTTGAAAAGAACAAAAGTTATTTCTAAGTTTTTTTGAGCATATATGTTTTTATTTAAAAGATTATTGAAGTCCTATTTTATTTGCCATCATTTTTTAAAGACTTTATATAACTCAATTTAAGACTTAATTAAAGTTACTTAATTCATTATGATACTTAGTTAAAGTTACAACTCAATTATGTTACTTAATTAAAGTCGATGTTTAATTTTAAGCAATTTTTTGAAACCTGCAGCAAAAAGTAAAAGAGAATTTTAATTTTTTACTTTGTTTTTTAAACAATCGGAAAGTCAGCATCTAAGTCATCTTTGTTGCAAAATGTTATTTCAACAATGCTAAACATTTACAGCAAAGCAGGGGTTAAAGTAGGGGTGAATGCAGGGAATGCAATTCCTCCATAGCCGACAAATCATGAAATCATTCCATTTTTCTATAAATTTACTTTTAATTGTTCCACAATCGCGTTTTTGATTTTTTTTTTTTTTTTTTCCAATGCGATTGTCCGTAAATTAGGCAACGCTTAATTTATTTTAATAATAAAAGTTGATCATTTTTATTTTTGCGCAAGGATTTTTTTTTAAAGTTAAACAGCTATTTTAATTTTCATTATTTTGATACTCTGCAAGGGAAAACTTATGTACTTTTTGTTTTGCTTACAATTAAATTTAAAGTTGCGTAATTTACGGATGATACAAAAGAACTTAAAACAATTCAAATATTCTATTTTAAAAGTTAAGATTTTAAAGAATACTTTCCTGCAATAATAATTTCAAGTATTTTAATGTCATTAATGAAACTTTTAAAGATGTTAATCGACGCAGCTGAAGTTTTTTATGCTAATTCTTCTTTCTTTTTTTTTTTGTATAAAATTTTGTTTATTATTGGCAATAAGTATTAGATTGATGCATAATTATTGCATGTTTTTAAGCGCCATTATTATATAAAAATACTGAATAATAAATGAATACTGATTTTAAAAATATATAGGTACTGAATTATATA